AGCCCGGGGGGCGGGCGGGCAGGGCCCCTCGGGCTTGGCGGGGAACTAAGTGCAAGACCAGGGGACCTAGGGAGGATGGGCAGAAGGGGCGCAGCAGAGCGCCGTCATCCTCGTCTCCCTCTCCTCCTCAGCCCTCGTGCTGTCCACGTGGTGAATGGGGGACAGGGAAGGGGGTGCGGTTATTAGGGCAAGTTCATTTCTTCACCTCAAGATTATGTCCACCCCTTTCCAAGCCCTGCTCTTCAGCCAGGCCTGCCCTTTCTAGGTTCTCTCTCTCTGGGAGCCAGAGATAGACAATGTGTGAGAACTATAGAGACCAAGAGGCGAAAAGACCTTCAAGGGAAAGGCCATTTTTCCTCTTTCTCTTCCCCCACTGGCAAGAGTGGGGGGACAAGGAATGGAGAGAAATTGGGCCCTTTGCATTTAGAGGGGTCCCAGAGAGGGAAGGGAAAGAGGGGCCCTTTTCTCTTTTAAAATTTTCTCTTAATCATACCCACCTTCGTGACCTCTCCCGTTCATTATTTTTTCTGCCCTGCTGGTCCCATCGTTTTTTCTAGCTAAAGTTGTTTATACCCCTCCTGGATTGGGGGTAGTAGAAGAGTGAAGCAGAACCAGCCCTCTGTTCTAAATGCCCTCCTTCAGAGGATGAGGTCCTGTCTATTCCATGGCCTGGGCATGGTGGAAGAAAGAGTGCGGGGATAATAAATCACACTATTCAATTGTCCATGCTCTGTGTGGTTTTTGAGTTTGTGAGGGAGAAGGGCAGGAGGGTAAATGGAGGGCTCCCCACTGGGGCAATTGCAGCACAAGTGATAAGGGACAGGCAATGGAGGGAGGCAGCTGGTGGGAGCTGCTGTCCCAGTCAGCTCACACTGTCATCTGGGTGTTGACTGCTGTGCCCCTCCTGGAAGAGTGATCCTGTCAGATTACCTGCAGTGAGTGCTGGGCCACAGAGGGGTGGCCATACTCATCCCAGAGTACTGTCACTCCAGCCAGGGCACCTGCCCAGCCTGTGAGGAGCCCCTTGCTGACATGGGATAGGGCCAGTTGGTCATAGTAAGGCCAGCTTACTGCTGTGAAAGGAATCTGATCATCTCAGTGGGGTAACATGAGTCTGTTCCTCATGTAACAGTGGTAGGCAGCCTTCCTCCACCAAACTCAAAAGCCTCCTCCTCCTGCTTCCATCCTCTTGGAAGACTTGGCCTGCAAATGGCACACATCTGCCCCTGCCCAAATCCCATTAACTGGGACTGGTCATGTGGTCACATGTCACTGCAAGGAAGCTGAGGAATGTAGTCCCTGGCCATTCTGCCCAGTGACTAAGCTATACCACAGAAGAAGGAAGGTGTGTTTTGGAGGGCAGGCAATTGTCTCTACAGGGACTCAAGTGGAGAGCTGGCTCAGGGCCTGGGGGAAAGAGGCAAGGATGCCAACAGTTATTACCATGTATTACTATGTTTTAGACATTGTGCCATGTGCCTGACAGACATGGTCCCATAGAATCATTGCAACCATCCTGCAAGGTGAGTATTGTTACTAGTTTGTTCATTAGAAGGGAGCCCTCTGATGCCAATTCCAGTTTCGTGGGACCCACATCTCTGGAATCTTGGGAGGCTGCAATGAAGGTTCCACCTGGGGTATTTTTAACCTTGCTGGCCAACTGCGATAATGCAGGAAGCAAGTAGAGGAGATGGACCGCAGTTCCTTTAGAGTGGGGTTGAGAGAGGAAGTGGGGTTTTCCTTGAGCGGATTTATGCCCTCTTTCAGGGCCTCAGGTTGAGGGGCTCAAAAAGTCAAGGCTTTGGATGGCCAACTGGGGGGTGGGGGCATGACACCCTAGGGAGTGGTTTTAGATCAGGAAGGTGTATTTTCAAGTGCCCATTACCTTGCATGGACAATTTGTATTGCAGTTCGGTTTATTTTGAAATTTTAGGTCACTTTAAAGGAGGGTGAAACTTTGTTGTTTGGATAGGTCTTGGGTTAGCAAAGATTGGGAAAACACTGCCCAGTGCTCTTAGGTCCCTTCTTGTCCAGTGCTGACCTTGAGTGCTGACCTTGGGTGCTTTAAGAGGCCCCCAGGAGGAGAAGGGTAAGTGCTCTGTCACTGGTAGAAGTGAGTGGGCGGGTTTCCTGCAGCAGCTTAGGATGGAGTTGGAGGAAGAGACACTTGAGTCTTTTTGCTGTCAGCCCTGCCCCATGAGGTAGAGGCAGGAGCTGGTACTTAAGAGTGAAAAAGATTCAGTGCCAATCTCCACCCTGCCACTTACAGGCTGTGTGACCCTGGGCAAGTGAACTAACTTCTCTGGCCCTCGGTTTCCTCCCCCTGCAGAAAGAAGAGCTTGCCTGTCTTTGTGAGTGATGTGAGAGATTACCAAGCTTGGTGCTCAGTCACTGAGCTGCCCTGCCTTTCCCAGGCAGGCACATGATACGGTACTGAGGAGCCAGTGCTCCATCCTGCCTCTGTGCATACCCCTTTGGGCTTCAGTTACTTCGCTTAATATAGGGATCTATTTCACTTTAATAATATAGAATCCAGTGAGCTAACGTGACCACAACTTAGATGTCCCACTGCACTGGAAAACATCAGCCTACACTGCATCAGGCACTTGACATGTTTCCACGTCATGTTGTGTCATTTATTGATGTATTCATGCACTCCTGTGTTCACTCACCCACCCCCTCACTCATAAAATATTTTTTGAGCACCAGCTTTATGCTTGTCGGACACTGCATTGGGTAAAGAAAGAAATGCGCGTTCTTTCCTCATGGATCTTTCCATCTATTCTCATAATAAACCTATACTGTAGCTGTTTACCCACCGTACTGGTGACTACATCAGAGGCAAGAGAAGTTGGGTGACCTTTCCAATCTCATGAAGCCAGCAGCAGTGGTAGTGGCATCTACTACCAGTTATTTGATTCATGTATCTGTTTCCCAAAGGGTGTCCTGGAGAGTCTAGGATCTAGGGAATATTGATGAAGTGGTTGGAGAAAACAGGGTCCCACAGTTCAAGTAACTTGGGAAAATACTGGATCCAAGTTTTCTAATACATAGAACAGTGCTTGCCACGTGGTAGGTAGGTGCCGAGTTAAGATTTTGTTGCCTGGGTGAATTATAAACCAAGTATGTGTCCTTGCCTCCCCCCGGCCCCCAGAGCTTTTCATTATGTATTCGTATATGTGCATGTCTCTATATGAGTGCTGTGTGTATGCCTGTGTATGGGTCTGTGTGCATGTGTTGTGTGTATCTGTGTGTCTGTATATGTGCATATGTGTCTGTATTTTTGTGCATGTGTATGTGTGTACATGTGTGTGTGTCTGTGTACCTGTATGTGTGTACTGTATATTTCTGTTTATGTCTGTGTGTGGTATGCATCCACTCATCCTTCCCTTCCACTTGCTTTCAAAGAGGTTGTGAGTGGGGAGGGGGTTGTCTCTGGCCACATCAATTTTGCCTCCTCTCCTGCCTTGAACAAAAGTCTGTCCACAAATTCTCCATCTTCCAGAGTCTCTGGGTCAGGTCCTTCAGCACCACGGACAGAACACCCACCCTCCCCACCTGACTGGGTTTTATTTTTTTTTAATTTTTAAATTTTTTAAAAAGATGACCAGTAAGGGGATCTCAACCCCTGACTTGGTGTTGTCAGCACCACACTCACCCAATGAGCTAACTGGCCATCCCTATATGGGATCCGAACCCATGGCCTTGGTGCTATCAGCACCACACTCTTCCGAGTGAGCCATGGGCTGGCCTGTGACTGGGTTTTAGATGATGGAGATCACCTGAATCCACATGCATTACCTTCTGAAGCCCCCACCCCCCATGAGGAGGGTATTATATCCGTTTTACAGATAAAGAAACAGAGGAGGTTAAGGGAAGGTTAAGTATTTTCCCCAGGCTCTCCCAGCTAGTAAGTAGCAGAGCTTAATAGTGTGAACCTAATGCCCACACTCACACTGGTCTGTACTTCATGGGATGCTCATGAAATTGGGTGGTCACCAGCTAGCAAAGTAAATAGACTATTTTGATGGATACAGTTGTTCAGGCTGATGGGGGCTATGCCAGCAGGATTTGGGCTGGGAATTCTTTGGTCACAAGACTTTAAAAAGAAGTAATGGATACTTGAATCTTTTTTTTGAGAGGAGATTACTGAATCTTTTATACCAACTCCCAGATTCTCCTTTTCTCTCCCTACATTATCCTTTGAAATACTCTGAGTGTACAAGTGGGTTTTAAAAATTAATTTATAGGACTGGCCCGTGGCTCACTTGGGAGAGTGTGGTGCTGATAACACCAAGGCCACGGGTTCGGATCCCATATAGGTATGGCCGCTCGGCTCACTCGGGAGAGCGTGGTGCTGACAACACCAAGTCAAGGGTTAAGATCCCCTTACCGGTCATCTTTTAAAAAAAAGAAAAAGTAAAAGAAAAATTAATTTATCAAATGTGAGCATACCCTACATGCCACTTGCACATCCATCTGTCATCTATTTACATCTGTCATCATCATATATCATCTATGTGTCAGTCATCATCGTCGCCTACCATCTACATCTGTCATTTATCGTCGTCACCATCGTATATCATATTTGTATCTATCCATCATCCATGTATCATCTACCTGTGTACCTCATACCTGGCATCTATCATCATCTGTACGTCGTCATCTTCTATCTATGTATCTGTAAAGCTACTTATTGCACTGT